GAGGACAACAAACGAGGGGCTGTGACAAACTGTTTCGTCGGAGTTTCACCGACTCATCAGGAGGCTGAACCCTAGACTGTCGGTTCACACCCCATCACAAGCCAGCAAAACATCCACGAAACAAAGAAAGGTCTGTCACAGCCAAAAAATACACTCCAGACACGCCGCTGGCACTAGAGGCACAGCATGGCCGCCTATAGCTTACTTTATTTATAAAAGGGAAAAACATAATGCCAACCATTCCATGACGACGGTTTGAGGACGGTCTGCCAGACAACTCTATTGTTAGACCACGCCAGGTGTGGTGGTGCACCCAGGGCCAGAGGTTGTCGTCTTGCGAAACGCCACAACTGTGCCATGTGCAACTGCRGGGGAGGGGGCGTTCCCGTCTTCCCGCGAACCTAGCAGATGAAGGCGTCGTTCAAGTGTAGACTCTTTTTTTCCGAACTGTGAGGGGAAGGGGGGGCTCGGTTTGCTCGCGGTGCCTGTGTCAGGCGTTCCAAAACTCGCTTTTTTGTGGATACCCCATTTGTTTTCCCTTTATTGATGTCGAGTGTCAAGGTATATAGTGTCACTGCATTTTCCGCACCCCTTATTGATGTCGAGCCCTGGGGTAAAAAAACGTTTTTTTCTTAAGTGTGGAGGAGCCCCGCCCCCCCCCCCCCCCCCCTCCCCCATGTATAAAGTAGGGGACATTTGTTTTTCCTTTATAGATTAAGGGACAAAAAACTTGCCTTTTCTTAAGTTATGTTTAAGTGTGGGGAACAGGAAGCTCCGCCCTCCCTCCCCCATAACCCCTCCTCCCCCATGTATAGATTAGGGGACATTTGTTTTTCCTTCATAGATTTCCTTTATTGATCTTCAGCCAAAGAAATGTTGTGGTGGGAATGGCGGCCTGCCTTTTTGGTTCACTGCCATTACATTTTCATGACGATGTTGTTTGCGTACGCAATTATCGGCAGAAGCAAATAGGAATTGGAACATAATGCTCTATCCCAACCTTACAAAGTCAGGCACGATGTCGGTGCGAATACCCTTACAAGGGTATCCGCCCTGGTTTTTGCAAGTGACAGGAAATAGTTTTGGTTTAAAGTTTAAGTAGACCGCGCTAGGCGGGGCTGTGTCCGTGACTCACGTTGACTGGATGGTTGACTATAATAGAGAGTGCGTGGGCGCGCAGGCTTAGGGCGTGCGTGATTCGTTTCTATTGTTGATCGTAAAGTCGGCGCGGACATCGGTCGATTTGCCTAATGATATTACTATTATTTATTTATTTTTGATTAAGCAGGAATTAAGGATACTTTTTTTGATTGCTACGTTTAACCGAGTCAAGCGCACGTGCGGAGAACGACCCCGACAACGGCATCGGCAACGACGACGCGACTTCGTGCGATGAGCGGGGTGTCGTAGGATGGCGCGTGGGGCAATTATGGCACGGTATGAGCAAGCCGGTGCGGGCGCTGGGAGCCACACAGCCGGTTTGTCGGCCCAAAAAGCCGCGCCGCATTGCCTTGTATGGTATTCTGCGGGCACTGGTCTCAGGCTTGGGCATAGCCCTATAGGTTACAACAGCGGACTGTTACTATGGAGGTTCAGGGATCGAGATTGAGCGGCGATGGCGCAAGGATATCGGAGTAGCGCGAAGGGACAGAGGGGTTGATGGATCGGCAGGGCTATCCCCCTTCGTTTTATCGTCGGCGGCGTCCAATTGGTGGTGGTAATTCCCAGATAATTCCTTTAAGCGTCATACTTCTGTTTATTTCTTCTGTTTTATTTATGCTCGGGCGTGCCGTTGACCAGGACTAGCGCAGGATTTAATAGCCACCACGGCGCAGTCACGTATGTGACCTACGTTTCGGGAACGGTAGGGGTCGCGTGGGGTATGTTGTATTCGAGGGGGTGGTGTGGAGCGTGGCCGCAAGACTGTAGTCGTGATTGCGCCGAAATGCCCCGTTATGGCGTTCCGGGGGTCCCCGCAGCAGCCACATCCGTGCCCAAGCCTGCGGTAAGGGAACACGCGGGAGCCGCACCAGCCACCAGGTGCGATGCTTGCTACGGCAGGTGGGCGGTACTGGCCAGGGGTCAGTCGATAACATCATGGTCGGGCCCCTTCGACGGGCCAGTCACTGTGCCTCCCCTCCATTTCCCTTCTATGGGGATCAAACGGCCCCTGCCCAACGCCGCTCGGGGAGAACTAACGGCATGCCCGGAGAGGCGGGCCAAAAGCGGTCAATGGTCCTTGTGCTATTGACAGTAGGTAATGCAGGCGCAGCAGGGGAGACCACTGTGCTAAGGGACCGGCGAACTCCGCTGTGATCGAAGGTTGCGCTAGCTGTAGATATCAGGAGGATAGATACCGGGAAGGGGATAACGAGTGTCGGGCGCTAAGGTTGTGAGAGGAAGCGGTGAGGCAGCGGGTGATGGGAGGTAGAGCCGCCAACAGTCAGGGGAGAGGCAGGTAGCGAACAGCGGGCTGAGCAGCGACGGGCGCCGATAACAGGCGCAGAAAGGGAGCGAGGCTGAGTGAACCTGAGCCGGAATTGCGTCCGGGTGCATTCGGAGGTGAGAGCGAAGGAGCCAGGCTATGGCAGGAGGAGAAAGAGGGAGTAGTTGGTGAAGGCAGGGAGCRGGAGGGCAAGGCGAGTCAGCACGGCCACGGGCGCTGCGGCAKCGGCTAGCGCAGGAACGCGGAGGTAGCAAGCAGGCCGACCAGGGGGCGAATGCAGCAAGGACCTGGACGCGTTTCATGCCAGGTGCATCCGGAATGGGGATGGCCGGGAGGTAAGTCGAGCGTAGCTGGGGGATGACAACTCGCTCCATCGTTCGCACAATCAGGTGGATAACGAGCGGGAACGGGGGGGGTTTGGGTTGGCGATCCCGAATATGTATTCGGATTAGGGTAAAAGTTAGTGTATTGAGAGTTCGTAGGAGGAAACGGTGCGCGGGGGAATGGCGGGAGTGAGTAGTGG